TCACTCTCCAGCTTCAGATGCTGGAGAGAAGCTGATGAAGCAGATCTGTGCTTCATCAGCTTCTTCAGGGGGGTCCTAGGTGACAGGGGTCTTGGAGACCCCTGATGTCTCCATAAAGAGGACCGGTCACATATTTTGCTATCACATAAGGGAGTTAGAAAACCCCCCTATGTGATAGCAATAAAGTTAAGTGGAAAAAAAAATAGGAAAAAAAATTAGGTTTCCCCCAAAAAAATTTAGTTACAAATAAAAAAGAATAAAACATTTTTTTAAAGTCCCCCCCACATACATACATACACGCATGCAAACAGGCGTCGGGTGCTCATACGTGTGAAAACGACGATTTCGCCCATTACGCCGCACAAGTTACATATCGCCGTCGGAATGAGAGCAATAATTGTAGGGCTATCAATCACTGATAACACTAAACTGATGAGCGGTAAAAGCTTTTAAAGCGTCACCTATGGTCAATTTTGGGCATGGTAGTTTTTTTCGATTTCGCGGGTGCGCGCAATTTTAAAGCATGACATGTTTGGTGTCTATTTACCCGACGTGACCCCGCTTTTTATATTTTACCAAAAATATGGGTAATAAATGTGTGTAGTTACTAGGGGTGTGGTCACTAAAGGGTGTGGCCACTGAGGGGTGTGGTCACTGAGGGGCGCTGTAAAGCTTTCTCGCACAGGGCGCCTAAAGACCTAAGGCCGGCCCTGATGGTATGTCCCTCTGTGTCTCACATCCTATACACAGTTTTCAGAGGTGATGACTCAAGGACCTTAGACCATTGCAGCAGAGAGGGAGAGAGACTCCTGGCTCCAAGAGGAAGCCGGCTCCGAGGATCAGACGAGCATAACGTTATTTTTGCACCTAGACACAAATTAGCACTTCACCTTTGCAGTGCGGGGTAGCTTTACTGCAAGGGTTAAGAAAAAGTTTGCCTGGAGTTCTTCTTTAAGTATAAAGATTTGTGTATTCTCTAGGGCTCAGAGTACCACCAGCTATAGAGGACTATAGCGGGAGGACTATTGCTGGGATTTGTTGTATTCCTCTATAGATGTTGATATTCTGCATTGCGCTGTATAATGTACTATTGCTGGGATTTGTTGTATTCCTCTATAGCTGTTGATATTCTGCATTGCGCTGTATAATGTACTATTGCTGGGATTTGTAGTCCTCTATAGCCGGTGCCATTCTGCATTGATTGCTGTATAATTTTACACTTTCCTTTTCACTATATTGCACACCACACTATTTTTTATTTTTTACTTCCACCGCTCCAAGCTTGCTTCTGTGATGGAGTGCAATCTCAATACAAACTAGTAGTCCATCACTGGAGCCATTTTTTTAAATTTATTTTATTGTTTATCCGATTAACCGATTAATCGAACTTAATAATCGGCTAACTAATCGATTTTGAAAATAATCGTTAGCTGCAGCTCTAGTATTCTCCACTAGAGGGAGCTCTCATTGGTTTAGCGCAATTTACTTTGTCTTTCTCTAATTCCTCATTTAGATGGGCAGCAGACTCCATCGCCCAGTGATCACCCAGTGGAGCAGCTGTTGCCTGGCATTCAGGAGCTGATACTGCCCCCTTATGAATGGAGGAGGGTTTTTCATTGAACAGACATTTGGCACATGGTTGCAGCACGGTCCTATTCAACTCAATGGTCACATTAGGCAGGTGCCACTGCCTGCCATATTCTGGCATGCTGTATAATGGCTGCCGCACTACAAAGCAAAGCATCGCTGCGGCGGCAATGTGCAGCATTATGCAGCTAATGCTGCTAACATTACAGTGGGCGGCTGGGGAGCAGTAAAACTGCAGATCGACGGCCTGATTTTACTGCCCCTCAGCCCGCCTGTCTAAATGAGGCCTAAAGCAGCATTTCTCAACCTTTCTACCCCAGGAAAGCTCATGGAACCCCTACAAAAACTGTTATCTACTTACTGTACTTACTGTTATGTACTTACTGTACATTACCAAGATCAGTACGTTATTGATAAGCTATAATAAGAAAAGGATAAAGAATGGTGTGTACTTAGAAGATGAAATCCAAGAAGGATCATTTTTAACACCAATCTGCTCTATATGAAAAATAATTATGTCCAGAAGGAGGACAGACTCCCTTACATTAGTGGGCAGAAGAGAAATGCTTCCATGCATTGGTGTTCAGGGATGGGTTCTCTTACATTGGAGGTTATTGGGAGTGTTGTCTCCTTACATTGGTGGTCAGTGGAAAAATACTTCCTTACATTGGTGTTCATTGATGGGTGGTCAGTGGGAGAGGTGTCTCCTTACATTGGTGGTCAGTGGGAGAGGCGTCCCCATACATTGGTGGTCAGTGGACGAGGTGTCTCCTTACATTGGTGGTCAGTGGGAGAGGTGTCCCATTATATTGGTGGTCAGTGGAGGAGGTGTCCCTTAAATTGGTGGTCAGTGGTAGAGGTGTCCCCTTACATTGGTGGTCAGTGGAAGAGGTCTTCCCTTACATTGGTGGTCAGTGGGAGAGGTGCCCCCTTACATTGGTGGTCAGTGGGAGAGGTGTCCTCTTACATTGGTGGTCAGTGGGAGAGGTGTCCCCTTACATTGGTGGTCAGTGGGAGAGGTGCCCCCTTACATTGGTGGTCAGTGGGAGAGGTGTCCCCTTAGATTGGTGGCCAGTGGGAGAGGTGTCCCCTTACATTGGTGGTCAGTGGGGGAGGCATTCCCTTACATTGGTGGTCAGTGGGAGAGGTGTCCCCTTACGTTGGTGGTCAGTGGTAGAGGTGTCCCCTTACGTTGGTGGTCAGTGGCAGAGGTGTCCCCTTACGTTGGTGGTCAGTGGAAGAGGTCTTCCCTTACGTTGGTGGTCAGTGGGAGAGGTGTCCCCTTACATTGGTGGTCAGTGGGGGAGGCATTCCCTTACATTGGTAATCAGTGGGAGAGGTGTCCCCTTACAGTGGTGATCAGTAAGAGAGGTGTCCTCTTACATTGGTGATCAGTAGGAGAGGTGTCCCCTTACGCTTTTGGTCAGTGGGAGAGGTGTCCCCTTACGTTGGTGGTCAGTGGAAGAGGTGTCCCCTTACATTGGTGATCAGTAAGAGAGGTGTCCCCTTACATTGGTGATCAGTGGGGGAGGTGTCCCCTTACATTATGATCAGTCTGAGAAGTTCATCCTTACAACTATGTCCAGTTATAAGAAGAATGCCCTTTACAGTGGTGGTCGGTGTAAAGAATGCCATCCTTACAGGCAACTAGGAAGTTAATTGGTGTCAAGTTGCCAGCTTTGGCCAATGTCATTGTGTTTGGAATTT